TCTTTATGTCAAGTGCTTAGTGACCACCTCTTTATGCCAAGTGCTTAGTGACCACCTCTTTATGTCAAGTGCTTAGTGACCACCTCTTCATGCCAAGTGCTTAAATTGGAAGAAAATTGGAAGAAAAAATATTACCAAATTTATGTTGCAGGCATATTAATTGGGTTATGAGTAAACAATGCATTGCATTGTTAAATTTGAATATTTTTACGACTGGAACATTTTTAATGATAGCTGTTTGAGGGCGCTGTGTCAAAGTTTGAATCATTGGAATATCTGGCCTTTCTTCATATTTTTTTAGTTAATTTACAACCTTGTTACAAATATATATGAACAAAACATGTCTTTTTCATGAGCTTTTATTTCATCAAATTATTTTAAAAGTCTTTTCGTCAATGTAATGTGATTTGAATTTGACATCTATTCCACTATAATGTCAAATACCAAAAGATTGGGGGTTAAACTTGACTGTTAATTTAACCCCCACTTCTACCCTCTTGTAATACCCCATCCAAACACCAACAGCCCTACCAATAGAAAACAAAGGAGGAGCAAAAATTTGGGCGGGTCTAACAAGCTTGACTGAATTTGCTATATTAGAATCGCATGGCCAATAGAAGTGCATTTAAATCAAAAATAATTTTAGTTGTGTATAAAATGGTACTTACTTACTAAATCGTACCATTTGAGTACCTGTCTGTAGCGCATGTGCTACAAATAGAGAAAATATGGTATATGATGTTTATAATATTAAACAAAACCTGTCTAGTAAATTTATTCAGTATATAGGAATTAATAATGTCTTCAATCATCCAACTTCACAGAGTGGTGAACTGCTGTGTACTGGTGAATCTACATCCCGAAACACAGGTAAGTGACAACACAGTTTTACTAACTGCACACATGAGATTACAATTCTTAAATTAGTGCAAATAGTGCAATTATTATTTTGTACATTTATTAAATAATGTGTTTTGCCCTCATGCAAGTGTATGCTTTGAACATGTCATGGATTATTGGATTTAGTGGTTTGAAAAGTTATTTATGATCCATTTTTCATAATCTAAGCGAGAATAATTGTGGTTGTGATTTAATGTAAACACTTATAACCAGAAGATAATTATAGAACAACACAAATTTATCAATCAATTGGTCCAACTGTCATATACAGAAATTTATTGCTTTTAATCATTTCATCAATGTAATGTTATTACCTGTTATGCATCATACATACATGTGGGTTCATTTAACAGAAATGTGTTATATTGCGTTTTATTTAGGTTTGATTGCCCCCCAGTGTAGTGTGCCGTTTTTGTTTGTGTGCAGATCATTTGTAAACTTTGCATCTTCTAAAATCGTAGCCATGATTTTGGAAAAGATTATAGAATATAAATACATGTATGAATCATTTGATGAAAAAAATATTTGTGGATAATGAACAGTCTGAATGTTGTCATTGAAAACTTGTGCAAGAGTGATCTTACAATGCAGCTATTTACAGAATTTTTTTTTCGGTATAAATAATACAATTATGGCCTTCATCAATATACAGATTTGTAGACCCTGATAGAGCTCTGTGTGCGTGTGTTCGTAAATGTTTGTATATGTTTCACTGAGATCAAAAATCTGCACGTACCAGATTTGTGGAAACGTGGTATACATGTATGGTCGAGAATAATGGACAGACCTGATCAATTTGGGGTTGAAATGTGTGCATATTAATTAACTAATTTGCATAACTTTCTGACATAACTAATCAACAAATTCAAATAAACTTGGTACATATTTGAGATGGGATGCTTTTACATGTTGTGCAGGAGCAGCTATATTTGTTTGAAAAACCGATCCCTAAATTTTTAATTAGTTTTAAATATTCCTTATTGCTTTTTAATATTCCTCCCATACCTTCAGTTACACAGGATTTGTTTCTCAAATCTTTCATTAATTGATCTTGCCTGCAGAAATCTTATTCTAACTTTGTGTCAAGTGTTAATTTTTGAAAACTATGCTTTTTGTCATTCTATAATTAATTATTAATAATAACTAATAATTTATTGCATCATTATAGGATCTGGCAATACTAGTTTGGGAGTTGGTGGCATCATTGCTATTGTGGCTGTTATTATTCTTTTGTGTTCGTTGGCTGTTTTTGTCATCTTTGCTTACATGAACCCAACATCAAGACCAGGATTGTTCCTAATCTCAGTAAGTTTATTATTATCACAAAACAAGCAGCCTGTCAGCTGAGATAGCCTCGCTGTTAGCAATGCACATGACAATTAAAGAATAGAAGATATCATTAGAAAATGAACAAATCTGAGAGAGGTCCACATGTAGTACCTATATGTATAATATATCAAAGCAATTGGACTTGCGGTTTTCAACAAGAAGTAGAAAATATCACTTTTTACCAAAAATTACAAAAATATTCACCAAAATTAGAGAATTAAAGATATCATTACAAAATGAACAAATCTGAGAGAGGTCCACATGTAGTACCTATATATGTAATATCAAAGCAATTGGATTTGCGGTTTTTAGCAAGAAGTTGAAAATATCACTTTTTACCAAAAATTACAAAAATATTCACCAAAATTAGGGAATTGAAGATATTATTATGAAATGAACAAATAGAGAGGTCCACATGTAGTACCTATATATGTAATATCAAAGCAATTGGACTTGCGGTTTTCAACAAGAAGTCGAAAATATCACTTTTTACCAAAAATGACAAAAATATTCACCAAAATTAGAGAATTACAGATATCATTACAAAATGAACAAATCTGAGAGAGGTCTACCCAAGGTACATATACACCAAGTATCAAAGCATTCAGGCTTGTAGTTTTCAAGAAGAAGTCGAAAAAGTAAAACATTGACACGGACGACGGACGACGACGGACAATCACTCATATGATAAGCTCCGCTCGACAAAGTCGACAGCGGAGCTAAAAAGCTTAACATCAATCTGTGCATGTTAATCATCTTATTTGTATCACAACCTGTTTCAGTATGTGTTTTGTATATCTTTGCACAGTTTTCTCTTCAAGTATGCTTTCTATTCGTGTAGATAGATATCTGTTCAACTAGTTTATTCTATACCATAATAGTTTGATCATATGGAGAGTTTATACATGAATATTGTGTGTGTAGCTGATTACTTGTTTCATATTAAAGCAGGGGAGTCGGCAACTGCACATGCGTCAGTTGGTCATAGCGTGTCATTGTTTACAAACAAGCGTCTACCCATAAGCCTTTGCATTTTTAGCGTGTGTTGTTATCGTCGCTTGGGACTCAATTCCCCCATGTGACCCAGCCGCTTTAATCTGTATGCAAATTAGTGAATTAGTATTCACTAATTTGCATACTATTTTCAGCTTGCATAGTTTTGTATGCCAGCAACAGTTTTTGTTGTTGTTTAGATGGATTGGTGTATAAATATTTTGTAATCACTCTATACAGCAGCATGAACTTAGCTAAATAAACAGTTGTATGTTGGTTGCGCAGTAAAAATCAGAGAACATTGAATTCACTTCACACAGAAGCACTTTAGAGCATCTCTGGTCTCATACAATGTACCATTGACAATGAAACTTTTTCTTATTTCTTCTCTGCATGTTCTTCTTTACTTTTCACATTGTATTTCTGACTTGTTAAATTATATATAAAAAAGTAATAGCTCTTTTAAATTGTGTTTCTTTGGATGTCTAGTTGGTACATAATTTAAGTTAGTCCGAAAACGGGGACTATTAATTTGGGTTCGTACGTCCGTCCGTCAGTACGTACGTCCGGAGGTATATCTCGGACACCCATTGACAGATTTCATTTAAACTTTACATGAAGACAATACATAATGTTTTACATATGCGTGTCAAGTTACTTTATGATCCGTTAAAAATGGGCGACTGACTGCCATTTTGGATGTAAAATTTGCTATTTCTAATACCTAAACGTGTCCGCAGCAGTTTCTCAGAGATGACTGGTCAGATTTGGATCAAAGTTGGTATGATGATCATGTACATATTGGGTTATAGTTGCATGTCATATTTTTTCTGTGATTCAAACTAATATGGCTGACTTCATCATCATCAAATTGATATGTCAGATCACAAAATTTTGAACATCGACTGTGTCATTAACGATAACTTGTTGAACATTCTTTGGGGGTCTCAACTAAAATTTGTTGGTAGTACATAAGTGACATAAATGTTGGAGTTGTTAGTAGACAGCATTGTTTGATTCTCAGCAGTCACAAGTTGTATGCATGACTTAATATTGTGTGTTTTCTATCTATCTTGATACAGCTGCGTTACTGTTTCCGTAAAGACACCAGTGCTTCAGCAGCCGATAACTCTGACAAGTACGCAGTTACCATGGACCAAGATTCTCGACCCATTGATACCCCACCTGCACAGCTACCATACCCAGACTCAACAGAAGCTTAGAAGGAAAACCACAGTAAACATGCTATTCCCATGGTGCATCAAATAGCTGGCAAGATTATTCAGTTTTTATAAGTTCAATATCAAAAAATTCAGTTATAGATAATTTGAAATTTACAGAATCATAATGCAGTGAATTTTTATTTTTATCGTTTGTGCTTTCTGCTATCTCATCATTTAGACAATTGAATTGCTAACTATCGATACTATTGTATAAATTAGCTGCCTTTGAACAGTGTTACTACCTGCTATGGATGTCAAATGATGCACAGACGTCAAATTATTTTGTAACACTCAGTGTCAATTGTGGAGTTTTTCATTGGTTCTCTCTAATTGTGCTACTCCACTGTCATATTTGGAATATTGCAAAACACTGTAAAAGTATTTATTTTCACTGGTATTTAATTCACTGTTTTCATATTTTGATTTCATTCCCTGCATTTTAAAGTCTTGAATCGTGCTGTGATGGGTCCTCAGTTGTAATTTCACTTGTTCACAATGCATATTTAGTGAATTCCACTTATCATATAAAAATCCACTGATTAATTAAAGCATTTACAGTACCTGATCTGTTTAATTGATATTGAGGTGTTAATCAGTATGAAATATTAGTGCATCTTTGTCATGGGAAGTGTAGCAGCTTTTTTCAATGCATCACGAAAAATGGCTCAAGCATCTATGTGTAATATCTGTAGAGAAGCTTATATATGGGCTACACAATGGCAGATATATCATATATACAGATTTTGAAAAACCTCTATTCTGATAATACCAAAATATGGACTAATTTTTAAGTTTTCTTTTATATACTTTGTAGGCAATAATAAATATGCTCTAGTTTTTTAATTATTTTTTTTTTCATTCAGGATGATTATCAGATTTAAGTTGGAGAGTTTGATTACTAAGTATTAATGTTTTATTTGTGGGAAAGACAAATATTTCCGAGGATGACTCAAAGCAAAATATGTGATTTAGCAATAATACATTTACACAGCTATGCGCAGTAATTCCTGTATGAAACTTTTTTAAAAGCAAGATATTGTAAATTTAGAATTTTTGCCAGGTAATTATTGTCAAAGTATTATATAAGAATGAAAATATGGCCATGTTGTTTTGCATTATATGTATATATATTTGTTGACTTTCACTACTCATGCCATAATGCCTTGTGTTTCATAGGCAAACAAAATATTTAAATCAATAAAAAAATTATTATACATCTGTCACCAAAAATAATAGAATTCATCCATTGATGAAAGGCTGTATGGACATGTTCTTAAATGTGTGTTGCGTTTACCACACATTTGAATAATTTCCTTTGTTTACATTGGAAGTGCTATAGCACATGTCCAAATATAATCATGTTAGGGACGACGTCAAAAGATCGATGTCGGATAAAAAACTTAATTCCTTTAGTTTTTTTCCAAACCCCCCTACCCCCCACTGAAACTTAATTGATAAATTTTGGTCATGGCGTCAGACTACATTCACCATTAAATACAAATTGATAATCGGACAGTAGTATTGCATAGCAGTTGGTTGTCGGGTGGGTGTAAAAAGAGTTTACAAATGCACCTCATTTGACGCACAGATTTACACTCGAACCAAACCATTTTCCTGTTTTTTTCCCCTTTTCGGTTATTTCTGTCCATGATTGGATAGAACTACAAAAAATCGTTTTTGTAGGATGGAAACTTTTTGAGGTCAAAACACCCCACTCCCAAACTAAAGGAAATAAGTTTTTTATCCGACATCGATCTTTTGACGTCATCCCTTACTGAGTGTAAACATTTCTACCAGCGTTTGCACAGTGCAGAACCTTTATTGTTGCCATTTTGAGCTGTTTTCTCCCATCATTGTTACAATGTATAATAATAATTTATTACAAGAATACTACAAAGTATACCATACTGCTTTTGTGCTTACTTTGAAGTATTCTCATAATATGAAATCTAGGAAATTATATTAGTTTTTTTCACTATTTTATAAAATAATTTTGAGTGTCTGTATAAAAGTATATAGAACTGCAAATTGAAACAATTCAATATTGATCAAAAAATAAAAGTTGATTTACACATGATGTGGTTGTCTCTACCAACTGGCGAGGCTCTTGTGTTCCTACATACAAAAACAAAATTTGATAGATTTGGCTTTCTGGTATTCTAATATTATTTTTAGCCAAAAATATAAAATGTTTAACCTTTTCACCACCAGTTCCCGCTTTTCATCACAAGTTCACAAAATAGTCCCGTTTATAGTCTGCACTTTCCTTCAAAAGATTGGTACAATAACCTAATTTTTTGGGTAAAAACTGAAAATTGATTCAGATTTTGTGTCTTGGCTGCAAAATTAGGTTCCTTTCTAGAAATGCTGAAGAATATAAAAAAGTGCAAAAAAAATTGGGAGAGAAAATCTGGTGGTAGAAAGGTTAAGTTAAATACTGATATGCTATACTTGTCACTATTGTTATCCAAATAATTGCTAATGTATAAAATTAAACTATTCAAGAACCTTATATTTTCCTAATACACAGTATATAAACAGTTTGTGTGACTTGTTTTGCACCACATTTCTTTTACTTTCTTCAATATGTATATAACTTGTTTTGTGATTACCTTAAATGACCAACTCAGTGATTTTTCATTTTTTGTATTTCTTTTATCTATATATCTTTAATTTTCAGGAATATTAATATATTAGTTACTTAAAGTGACTGAAATCTGATGTACATGTAGCCCTTCACAATAAAGTGAGATTCCACTGCTAAAATATTATTCAAATGTGCAACCCGAGACAGATAGTGTTTTGTGGAGGGGGCATACCTTTTAAAATTTAGGAGTCTAAATGACACTAGTGAGTGAATGGTAACTAAATACAAAATTAGTAGAAATGAATAATTAAACCTGATGATGTTACACCATTTGTCTCTTGAACATAACCCTTGACTTTACTACGACATCAGAATTTAGTGTTGTTGATTTTACATTGTCTTTCATCATTTTATCTCAGAGATTATTAGGCAAATGCTGTTCATTTTGTTGTGCATGCCATAGAGAATATGTTCAATGTAATAACAGAAAAGCATTGTATACTCAATATAACCTTGATACTAAAATTCATATCATAATTAAGTGCCTGATTGGTAAAATCCCCCCTCATCCTGATAGTATATTTTTTTTCCTTTTTTTTACTAGGAAACCATGCTATTACAAGGTTTGGTTCTCATTGAGTCACTTGTAGAATGTTCCATTCTTATTTGGTCTTGTTACTTGAGTATTAATTTCAACTGGGTATCACTACTGATCTTGTCTTAAAGGATACCGTCGCCGGGCACCACATGTTTAAATTTCATATAAATAAACAATGTATTTTACATGCGGGTGTATACGTCGCTACGAGTCCCATATCAAATAGGACACGACCTGACGACCACCTCCATTTAAGTCACCTAAATTGAAATGCTGTAAGCAGAAGTACAATTTTTAAACACTGAGATTTCAGACAAGATTCAAAAACCAAGTATCAACAATTCATTTTTTTTACATTTTTCAATAAGGATAATGTATTTTTACTGAATTGTAGGTCATTCATTGCTATGTTGGCAATAATGTTCATTTACTGACAATGGGAACCAACCTTTTTGGTCTGTCAAATTAAAAAAGTCCTAAAAAATTGCCTATTAGAAGTGCATAGTGCACTATTGAAAAAAAGGAAAGCATTACTAATCAATGAATGATTGTGTTTTGATTCAATTGAGATATCATTTCTGTTAACATCAATGGCGATATCACATTAAGGGTTAACAGGAACTCTTTCTATACATGTATTGTTGACCTGAAAACAGTAGTAACAAGTTATAAGATACCTAACACTAGAGGGCATAATCATTACTATGTTCATAAAAATGATAATGTTTTTCTGCATATAGTCCTCGTGTACAAAGTCGTTGACAGCTGACTAGTCACTGGTATTGGTATTGGAGATGCACTTCTAATAGAGCAAATGTAGTACTCTGAACTTGTGCTGGTTTTGTCATGCTTCGTATCTGTGTCTGAATGTTTACATGAGAAGTCTATTTGGTAAAGAAATTGTATATGTATATTTCTAGATCAATAATAAATGCACTAATTTTGAAATTACATAATTGTTTTGTTTATGACTTATGTGTGTGAAGCACACAATGAGAGTGTGTGTGTGTGTGTGTGTGTGTGTGTGTGTGTGTGTCCCAATGATATCTCAAAAACCAAGTATCAAATTTAATGAATTTTGTACATAAATGCTCTGGGATAATGCTCAGACCTGATTAGTTATTTTGTTGAAATCTGTGCATATTAATTACCTAATTTGGATTTTAATTACCAAATTTCAAGCATTTTCACTTGCTTTTTATGTATCATTTTACAGATTTCAACGAAACTTGGTACATAGATGTTCTGGGAAAATTCAGAGCTGATTAGTTTCGGGTTGAAATCTAAATTTTAAGCATTTGCACTTGTTTCTCAGGTACCAGAAAACAGATTTTAATGAAACATAGATGCTCTTAGATAATGTGCAGACCTGATTAGTTTTTAGTTGAAATTAATATTATATAACTAATGTTTCAGATGACTATATATGGTAATGGAACTTTGATAATATGCATAACTAATATCTTAAGTACAGTTGAATATAGGGGCATGACATATGACCAAAATATCAAGTCATCATATATGGTTATTTGTTCATTAAATATTTGTAATGTTTAAACCGTAGCAACTTGGAACCAACCTGATCCTGGCTTACAGTTACGTTTTTTAAAATGCTGTATTTTCTCTTAACAGAAGCATATGTGTTAACTTTAAATACCAGTATATGGTAAATACAGTGTTCTTTATTTGTACTTCATGCCTCCAATACCTTTAGCACACAAGAGTTCTTTCTAAGATTTCTTTGATTGGGGGTCGTCGATGGATTAGATTGAGTCCAAATCTGAAACTGTATACAAGCAAGGGAATGGTGGGTAATCATTAGACTGCTATTAAACAAGTCATTGAAAATGACACAGTCCCCGTTAAATTTTGGAAAGTTCTCTTTGTGCTCGTCATATTAAAGCGGAGGGGTTGTCGCGAGCGTGTCCTTGAAACTTGAGTTCCAAGTGGCGTATACAACAGATTTATTTATTTGTTTATTTACATCAAAACACAAGTTCATTGTAGTAGTAATATGGCCAAAAATAAAAACAGCCATTATTCGGCCATCTTTGATCTGATTATGAAACACACTGATATGTATGATGTATGTGTACCGGTACATAAATTGTGGAAATATAGCAGTAAGGCCAAAAAGTCAGATGGCTGTCAATCGGCCATCCTTGACCAGATTTTGAAACAAATTGTCATGGACATGCATCCTAACATGAATAAAGTACATGTATGTGCCAAATTTGAATGAAAACTGACAGAGCATGTCCAAGATACCGCATAAAAAAACAACAAGATGCCTGCTAGTCGACCATCTTTGATCCAATTGCGAAATAAATAGTCATGGACATGTATCCTAACATGTATAATCTATGTACCAAGTTTGAATGACAACTGACAAAGCATGTCCAAAATACA